AACAAATGTAGGGAACTATTAATAGAGAATGAGAGAACTGGAGCTATTCCACTGGGAGTGTTCTCAGATTGTGGCAACCAGCACCGTGCAACAGACTTCCAAGGGTAATTATGTCTGGAATATTTACATTTGGACTAAACTGGAGGAAAGTGCTTTGTAATTAGTAGTGGGTAAGCTTGCTAGGACTCAACCTTGCTTCAGCCAGCAAACATTGCATATCCAGAGAATGTCTTTTTTCTAAGTAAATTTTAGTATTTTATGAGACAGTTATTCATTTATATGTCTTATTTGGCATGCAAAACTTTTTCCAGAAGGCTTCCAGGAGAAATGTTAGCCTGATTGCAGGGAGTTTGGAATTAATCAGGCTGGAAGGGATAGACTATTATGTCTATTATAGTTTATTATTTTGAACCTCACTGATTTAGAACTTAGGATCATTTAAATCTGACGGGGCTCTTGTTTTCCTTGGAATCATCAAGGAAGAAAATGTTTACAATGCAAATTAATATGATAAATGAGAATCTTCTGGGAGAGAAAATTAAACACGTCAGCACATTGTTTTGCTATGAGGGTCAAAGAAGTTTCACTTGAGTGAGCAACACACGCAAGGAAGGAAGTGACATGACCGTGGGGAATGAACGACAGGCAACAGGAGGTGTGCAGAGCCTGCTGCTGCCACTCCTCCGGACAGCTCAGCTCTGGAGGTGGGTGGACTGCAGAATCAACACAGTTTGGGCACAGGTCATCTACACACAGAAGGGTCACCCAGTGTAAAGTAAATAGGCGATGGCTTAGTGTGTTGCACACATAAGGATAGCACTAGGACCTCAGGACCAGCTTTCCATGATTGCATAAATACACAGTATAGATGTAATTTTTAGAATCCTTTTTGAAAGGAGGAAGCAATTTACTTGAGGGTATTTAAACCACAGAATCCATTAATTAAATAGAGTCATATATTTACTTAAAAAATGAAAACTCTAAATAAGTTCTCTGTGAAAAAGAAATGTTCCTAACTGACCTGACCTAATGGGGAGATCGCTGTTGCTCAGCAAAAGATTCTGATAACAAAATGAGGAGAACCTATAAGATGCGTTCTTAGCACTTTAGGTGTTCTTCAGTTTAGCTTTTCATTATGAAAATGTTCAAATGTATGCAAAAATAGAGAAACTAGTATAATGACTCTCCATGTATCTATCACTGAGTGAAAACAATTATCAATATTTTGGTGGTATGACTTTGATTAGAATTACTACTTCTATTAGGGTGTGTCTGTCTCTTTCACCTTATAACCTGGAATATCAAGGACAGTCATGACACATATATGAATGAATGAATTAAAGAACAAACTTCAAATTAAAAGAAAATAAAAGGGTTTAGTCCAGAAAGTCTTAACAAGAAAAAAGGGCTAAGGCAGCTGCTAGAAGAATATTGCACTCTAACTGGTAGACCAATTTGATGTAAGAACTGGTAGAATGAAAGTGTGAAATAGATCAAATCACAATCCAGCCATACATCCACCAAAAAATAGGTAGACTGATCCCCTTTCCAGGGCCCAGAATGAAAGAAGAAAAGAAATGTCAACATGTATCAACTTTCCAAAGAGTAAAAGAGAAGCTATTTTGGATCTGTAAAAGAAGGGCAAATCAGGAATAAGGAATGACTGGTACTATAACAGTGTATTGCAGATGCAAAAAAGGAGGCAAACAGCATGAGAGAATGAGAAGTAGATAGGGATGACTGAGACGAATGGGAGAAGACAGGTGCTCTTAAGGAAAAGAAGCAGGAAGAGCTCTGTCCGGTGAAAGGGCCCTGGGAGCAAAAACATTCCAGTAACAAGTTCACCTAGTGCCCAGGTCTTGGTCTCTAATGTCACTCCCTGAAGAAAGGAACCAGAGCTTCCAGGAGGAGCGGTTGATTCCAGAGCTGGCATGTGCCTACCATATTGGAATATACAGGTTTACTCTATTCCCCTAGTTTTAAAGACTAGTAAATTGGGACCCAGGGAAGTTATGTAATTTCTAAAAGCATACAGTTCAGGGGCAAAATCAAAATTAAAATCCACATCTCCTGATTACTAGAAAATTGCATTTGCGCTGTGCCATATTATTTATATTCTTATATTTATATATTTTATATTTATATTATATTTATTTATAAAAATAAACACATTTAAAAATGAATACTATAAACTCCATGAGAGCAGGAATTATTTTTTGTTCACTGACGTTTTCCCAGTGCCTGGAAAAGTGATGACATGTATTAGGTGCTTATGAAATATTTGTTGAATGAATGAATGCAGAGGCAAACAGTTACAAGATGTCAAAATCATCAGCTCTGTGATTATTTTAATGTAAGCTATATGAAAGCAGGTACTATATTTTGTTCACTGTCCTATCTTAAGCACCTAGAACGTGGGCTGATATCAAATATTTAAGTAACTTTTTGAAATAGTTATGAAATGGTGAATTATTTGTACCACAAAATTGACTTTGGTTGGAGGCAGCTTGATGTGGTAGGAAGAGCACTAGACCAGGATAGGTGGTCTGGGTTAGGGTCTCTGCAATTCACTGGCTTTGTAGCTTTGGATAAATTCCTTCAGCTCTCCGGGCGGTGCTAAAGTGAAAGTTTGAACCATGTTTCTGATTTCCAATTCAACTCTTATACTCTAAGATTAATCTTCCCACACCCTTGCCAAAAAAACAATATTAATAATAATTTTGCAAGACTACAGATGACAGTTTAGTAATTCACTGGTTTTCAAATGTATGACGTTCTTCTGAAAACTGTCATATCAGATAGGTCATGAGGGAGCCAAGATCCGAAGTTGGGTTACAGCTGCTCTGAGCAGCAATTTTCATCATCTAGATCACAGAGGTAAAATGCTGAGAAAGAGACACGTCGATAGTGGCATAAAACAGATCTAGTAGCATAATTGTCTAGCCCTTGCAGTTAGATGTCAATTGTATCTAAACACAGAAGTTTCTTTCAATTTCAAAACATTAGAATATGGAGAGCTATGTAATGTCACTTAAGCATAGAGTAGGGGGGATAACATAAGAGGTCATCCACTGGCGTTGGCTAAACTATTTTCTCACCAGTGAAGTTTACCTAAGTCGTTAGTCCTCCTTTCCCCTAGCTGTGTAAAACCCATCCTGGCCAACGGAGTCTATTTTATCAAGGAATTCCACTGGTGCTTATTGTTTTCATGCACGGCCCACCACCACCACCACTCGGAATCTGAATTGCCTTGAATGGAAATAATATTAATGATTCATTTTATTATTTGTTGTTTGTGGCTAACTTTTCAAATTGCCATCACTTTCTAAACATGATAAAATTTAAGGTCTGAAAGGCAAGTTGGGTCAACTGTACAAATTGCCGTTTTTACTGTTCTCTTCGTGATTTTTAAGATTTCTTCTATCAGGGTAGGCAAATTGGTTGGAATTTAAGTTTGACATTAAAAAAATAATCTAAGTTCTTATTTTGAAGCTTGAAATATGCAAGGTTGGATAGTGGCAATATGAAGAAAGCGAAAAACACAGGTTTTCAGAATAGGATAGGATGTTTCCTCCTCCATGGCTTTTAATAGAATGTTCTCTCTTCTCACAATGAATTTCTCTCCCACTTGTCTATCTGTAAAATCCCGTGTCTCCTTTAAAACCAGTTCAGCCATCACCACCTGTTACAGATTGTTTACAAAATTTCCCTCCTTATACCTATGACCTTGGATAGGCACCTCCCACACCGACTTGTGGCTTGGCCAAGTGACATGCTTGGCCAATGAGAAAGTAGCAAATGTGACACAAGCAAAGCCTTTAAAACTGATTAAACTTACTTTTTGAAACTTAGTTTTTCTTGCTGTTTTTGGAACTTAGCAACCATATAAAGAAGGCTAAGGTAGCCTGCTACATGCTGGGGACGTGTGATCCAAATGTCCCTGTTGCTTGAGCCACCCATCAGCTATGTGACTGAGGCCATTCATAAACAGCCCGACCCCAGTGACACGGTGGGTGAACACAGTCACTTGAATGAGTCCAGGTGAGACCACCCAGATATGTCCAGCCAAAATTGCTCATGTATGGATTGGGGAGCTAATAAATGGTTATGCTTTTAAGGGACTATGTTTCGAAGTGGCTTGCTTTAAGCAAAAATTAACTGATATAAACATGTGTGTCTATAAGCGGAGTGTTGCTGTAACAAATATTTAAAATGTGTGATGGTGGCTTTAGGACTAGGCAGCAAGTGGAAGTTGGAAAAGCTGTGGACCAAGGCTGTTAGCAAAGACTGGAGTAGCAGCAAGAAAACTGTTAGCAAAGGCTGGAAAACTGTTAAGCAAACTACTAGTGATGGCTTGGACAACAGTAAGGAGACTGCTCCAGCAGGCTGAGGAAACGGTGACCCACGTTGTATAGTGGGGAAACAATTTTTAAAACTGTCACTTTGGAAGATAGAGAATACACCTACTACACTTAGGGAACCGACTAAAGAGATTTCCACGCAGTGCCAACTGGTTTCTGCTAGTGTATCTTAGAAAGTTCTGTGAGGGAGAGATGAGCAGAAGAAGGAACTGCTCAGTTTGTAAACAGAATTTAGAAGATGATGACCTTTATGATGGCAGGAGAAACTTTAAGAATATAAAACTGCACTACATTTTATTCAATTTTTAGTTTTTTAAATTCAATATTACTTTGTACTTTCCTTGAGTTTGCAAATTCTGTGTCTTTTACTAATTCTGCCATGATGTTTTATCGGAAAATGCTAATCTCTGAGACTGGAGATGAGATAACCAAAACTAAGAAATTTGCCCAATTACACAGCAAGTAGTAAAGGCAGGATTAGATCTTGAGCTCTCTGGATTCAAAATTAGTACTCTTTCCTTCTTCCCTGTTTCCCAAATTCTTTCAACAAGGAGAGCCTTTCAATTTACGAGTTTTTTAACTTAAAATAAAATGTATACTATATTTTCATTTTATAAAGATTCTCAAAAAACACCCAAGTTTCACAGAACTGAATCATTTTAATCTTCAAGATGGGTGATAGAATGATACATTATGTACGAAGGGCTGGAATGTGTTTCCGCTCCTGTGGTTGTAACAGATGAAAGGACGGGGCCCCGCGCTTGGTTCTGGTGAAGGTGGACTCTCTTTGGTATCTGACCCGTGATGCTCTCCTGGCACGGCTCCTGCTGCTTCTGGCTTAGCGTCTTCCTCTTTTTCTGGATAAGTGTTTTCTTTTTCTATTTGGAAAGTTCCCATTTAGATTAATGAAATGGAATTTTCCCTGGCAGGAGAACAAGGAAGAAATGGATTTCAACAACAGAAGGATATAATATTAAACCTACTTAGGAAGAGAGGAATACATTGGTTCAGATAATTGCTCTTTTTTGTTCTTCACTCTCCACAAAGGAAAGAGAACTTTATTTTTGGAGCGGTTTATAAGTTATTTTCCCTGGAATCAGAGAACGCAGATGATAAATTTCTTTAAGTCCTTTATTCTCTGAATTTCCTCATAATCTTCATTCTCTTGGGATTTCGAAAGGAGAAAATTCTCCATCTCTCTAAGACATAAGTAAAATACTAATTAGGCCTCCTGCAATGACCTTTATGTGTGGCAGAAGAAACTTTAAGAATATAAAACTGCACTGAATTTTATTCAATTTTTAGATTTTTTAAAATTCAACTTTAGTTTGCACTTTCCTTAAGTTTGTAAATTGTCTCTACTTCTACCATGATTTGATTAAAAAATCAATGCTTATTACATGTAGTTGTTTTCTCACTTATCAAATATCTTAAATATTGTGGAAGAAAGAGAATGAGAGCTCACCTTCATAGTTTACCATTTTATTTGGTATTGTTATAATACACCATTTCTCAATAGAGGCATTATTTATTAGCATTTGGGGCAGGAAGATAATTCTTCGTGTGAGATCATTTTGAGCATTGCATTAGAGTATCATCCCTGGTCCCAACACACTAAATGCCTGTGGGACCCCAGAGTCATTGTGATAAGCAAAAATGCCTACATACATTTACAGTTACCCTTGGGACGTAAAGTATTGTCCCTAATTGAGTGAGTTGCTTTGGTATAGTGCAAATTTGAAAAAATTCAGAACTCTCTCCTTCTCCCCTCTATTTCTCTTGATGATTTATGGGAGTCTCTAGGGGGCGTCTCATTTATGCTCACGAAATGGTCCTCTCCTCTCCTACAGGGCAGCAGCTAATTCCTTCTTCCCGCTTCCACTTTCTGCAGTGATGTCCAGCTCATCACTGCTGGAGCATTCTCCTGCTACAGCTCTTTCTAGATGTACACCGGTATGCCTTGCTTCTCAGAACTTGCTTGTTCCCTCCACATTCCTGTATTAAGTGAGATGAGTGGTAAGCCGTGGTTAGTTTTGGGGTGAGGAGGATGGAAGGCAGAGGAGTAATGGAGCTGAGCGCTCTCTCTTTTCATCCAAGAACCTGTGTTCAACACTCTCCCTCTTTAGAATGAGTTACTTCCCAAGAGTATCTCCATGCCTACCAGATTCTGGATTTTGAGAGCAGAGACTTCTGAGGAACAATACTGGCTTACTGCTGATGTTGAATATTTGAGGCTTGGAATTATATTGGATTCATACATTCAACCTGCTGAACTGAGCAGCAGCCTCTGCTAGACCTCTAGGTACACTCAAAAGTGCCCCATCCAAACACAGCCCTGTTGAAATTCTCAGGTTGAGAGACACCATACAGCTGCAGCTTTTAAACACTTCATTGACATCTTGATTATGTTCTCATCTCATGCTTTCAATTGCTTATATGTTTCTATTGTCCCAAACTCAATATACCCAGAGCAACAGTATTGTCTTTCCTGTCAAACCAGCTGGAAAGTCTTTCCAACTTCTTAAAATTTGTGGAGGAGGGAGAGGAATCAGTAGTATATTCACACTTCCTGAATCCCAGGTGAGAAAATTTGAAATAACCTTTGACTCTTCCCTTTCTTATTTCTCATTAGATACTGATTATTATATGTTAATAATTCTTTCTTGTGACCTAATATGTAACTAATTTCATTGATTCCTTTATGAATATTTTCTTAATTTGCCAAATTACATTTGAATTTCTCTTCAATTCATTCTTTCCCCTATCTAATCTATCAAACGAATTTTCCATTGGACCATCATACATATCTTCTGTACCTATTCGGTCAAATATTCTTTGAAGTTATCATTTTACAAATATTTATTGGATTTCTACTATGTACCAGAGCTTGCTCTTCCCTTCCTTCTTATTTTTTAAAGATTTACTTATTTAATATGAAATTTATACTGATTACCTCAACCCACAGCTTCTCCCCTTTCTCTGAACTCTTATTCCACAGTAGATCATAGTTAGAACTACAAAGTTTGGAATTTTATTGATAATCGTTTCCACAATAAATTATATATTCTTGGAAGACCTACATCATATTTTACTCAAATTATATATTTTCTACAGTATCTAGAACAGGGCTGGGTACATTCTAATTTCTTATGAATAAATACTTGTTCACTGATTTTACTGAAAGCTTAGTTTCTCCCAAAATAGACCTGATTTGAAAATGTGATAGCTGGGACAGAATATATAGAATCTCCATTCATTGATCTTGGCTGGTTGCCTATAGGCTGTCATGTTTCATGTTTGGAAATGAAATCTTGCTAATTAAATTTTTTAGGATTGATGTTACTTAATTAACTCATTCCTTAAATCTCTCAGCACTACTTTAAAGTGATTTAACACTTATTTGGGGAGATTCAGTCTATGTTATAGAAAAATCATGATTAAAAAAAGTAAACCTGCAGAAAAAGTTTATTAAATTGTTTTGGTGGAATTTGATAAGCCAATAATAAAACTTATACAAAAGAGCAAAAGAACAAGAATGGCCAAAGAGAAAAAAGAATAACCAATACACTATTGAAGAAAAACTGTGCGTATGGGGATGGTGAGAATTTGCCCACTAGATTTCCAGATTGTTCAAAGTATCACTAATGTGTTACTGGTGCAGAGAGAGATAAATACACCAATGAAACAAAAATAGGAATGTCAGAGACAGACCCTCAGATCTACGAAAGAAGTCAGAGCCGCCATTTTAGAGTCGTGCAGAAGGAATGGACAACTTAATAAATAATGCCGGGACAAGTTGTTTTCTATATGGATCCACATCATAAGGAAAAAATAGATTCCTGATGAATTAAATACATATAAATTTCTAAACTTTCTAAGGAAAATGTAGGAGATTATCTTTGCAATTTTGTGTTACAAAAAGGATTTCTTAAGACAAAAAAGGTACAGAATCCATAAAGTAAAAGAGATAAATACAAGTCTACTAAAATAAGAACTTCTGTTCATTGAAAGACACCATTTTAAAAATGTGAAAAGACAAGACATAAGCCAGGGAAGTATATTTCCAACATATATTAGTTAGAACAAAGTATCAGTTATACATATATATATATATATATATATATATATATATATAAACTCCAGTAAAAAAAAAACAAACTGATAGAAAAATGGGCAAAAAACCTGGATACCCGTTTCATGGAACAGGAAAAAACCAATGACTATTAAACACATAAAAAGATGTCCAACTTCATTCATAATCAGGAAATGGATGAAATACCATTTTATGCCCAAAATACTGGCAAAAATTTTAAAGCCTGACAGACGATCGTGCTTGTGAGGATGAGGAACTCCTGTACAACGCTAAGAGGGTAAACGTGCTCAAACCCCCTTGAGCACAATTTGGCATTCTCTAGTAAAGTTGAAGATGCACCAACTTAATACCCAGCAATTCCAACTGTAGATAAATACCCTAGACTACGGAAACTCTCACATCTGTGCAACGGGACACAGCTACTACAATATGCATTGCAGCACTGCTTTTAATAGTAAAAACCTGGAACAAACCCAAAGGACCATTGACAGGAGACTGGATAAGTAAGTGTTTGATACATATGATGGAATACTCGATATACAGCACTGAAAGCAGATGGACTGGTTTCACGCATCCCCATGAATGGAACATGATGCTGATGAAGAAGAAAGTGACAGAAGGATACATAGACTGCAGTTCCATTTACATCAGATTCAACACACACAAACCCAACAAACACATTATTTAAGGATACATAAGTTTTTTTAAAACTACAAAGAAAAATAAAGAAACAATAACCCATAATTCAAGGTAATAGTTACCTAGGAAGCAAGGAGCGGAGTAAGTTGAGAGGGTGGTGATACCAGGTGGGGTGCACAGGAGGGGACTTCAAAAATTTGTTACAGTTTTCATTCTTAAGCTGAGTGGTGGGTACAAGCATGTTTATTTTATTTTTCTTATTTATAATGAACATCTGTATATTATATATTCTGTACATGTATGCAATAATTAAAAATGATTTTTTTGTTACCATACGTAATAGGTGTTTAGCTAGATAACTGGGCTTCTGGTTTGTATCCTGATTCTAAAGCGGGTCTGTCTGCTTAAATTGTCTGAATGTGTACCTACACTGGTCACTTGAAGCACAGCTTCTGCTTTGTACACATGACGCCAATGACTGTTTGTAAAGAGAATTCACTCTTTACGGCTCTGTCTTCCTTCGGAGAGGCTTTATATCCAAACCGTACAAGTAAGACCATTAGTGGGCACGTCCAGAAAGTCAGGGTAACTTTGCTGAAACTGGGGGCAGGGGTTATTTATATTAGCTCTGTATATGAATAATTGGGGAAATGTCCACTTTGCTCTGTGCTGAGTGGTAATGGTCTACATGTCTGCGATTTCAAAATAACGTTTTCAGGGGCTGGCCCGGTAGCATAGTGGTTAAGTTCACATGCTCTGCTTGGGCAGCCCAGGGTTTATGGGTTACCCCGGCCACGGACCTACACACAGCTCATCGAGTCATGCTGTGGTGTGTCCTACATAAGAAACAGAGGAAGATTGGCACGCATGTTAGGTCAAGGCCAATCTTCCTCACCAAAAAAAAAAAGAAAAAAAAAACACATTTCAAAAATAATCCCATCCCCCTCCTTTTTTACAACTCTCCCCACACTAAGTATCTGTAGAAACATATGGTAGTTCCCAGAAAAAGCCAAGTGAATATCGGAAACATTAATATGTGTGCTGCTATCATCACAAAAATAAAGAAAACTGGGAATCCAGCAATCTCCTAACACAACCACTGCTGCCTGCCAGTTCTTACATCAAATAAAAATTACCGTTTAGGGAAGGATGGTTCCTCGGCGACTAAGCAAACAGATGGCAGGTGTGAA